ACTGCTACTACCTCTACAATGGTCAAGAAGCTAAGCAAGACCAGAATTGAGTCTGTTTTATTATTTTCTTTTCTTTTTTTTCTTTTTTTTTCTTTTATTATGTAATCAATTAATAGATTAATTTATATTTTTAGAATAGAATTGAAATAACTATAAAAGTAGCTTTAATTTTTCTTCTTTATATATTGATCAATTAATCAATTAATTAATAACTCAACAATTAGTTAATAAAATAATCAATCAGTAATTACTGAATTTTGATTAATCCTTTAGATAGTTTTTGAGTGAACATAGGATAGATTTTTTTACTTTCTTTATTTCTTTTTGTATTTTCTTTATTTTCTTAATAAAATCTTTAATTTGTCTATAAATAAGTTATACACATGTTTATTTATTACCTTGCATTTGTTTATAAATTATAAATAAAGTTTACATTATATAATCCAGAGTCTTAAAATAAACTATTGATCTTTAATTCTTCACTTAAACTGTCATATAATTTAGCTAGAACTTACTTTTCTACATTCTTTGAACCTATTCATCCATTAAATCCTTACAAAGTCCTAGTGAAACTATTCTATTTTATCTTTTATTGTCTTTAGATTAGAATTTAACATATTTTCTCTTCTTTATATTTACTATCCTTCCTTTAATTATCCTTTCTTTGTTTTATTTAGTTTTTTAGCCTTTATTGTCCCATAGCATAGAAAATTAGTTACTTTATTATTATTTGTCTTTCCACACTTTCAAAATTCACTGATAACTACTGAACTAAATTCAAGCACTTGTTGTACTTGTTCTTTTGCTCTTCCAATAGGTAGTATCACCAGTAGTATAACCTATCTCAGCTATTTTATTGTAATGGAAATCAGCTATAATCATCAAACCAATATACAAATATTATTATCAAATTTGATTTTCTAAAAGGTATACAAGCTGTCTATTACTCAAATGACTTGAGTTTTATAATATATCCATCATTCGAATAACTTAAGTTTTATAATATATCCATCATTCGAATGACTTAAGTTTTATAATTTACATATCCCACCTGAGTGGCCATAACCTAAACTAAGTAAAAATAACATAATTATAATATTTCTACTTCTCAATTGGCTGTCAATTGTAGAAACTAGATAAAGAATTAATCCAGCCGGCATTCTCTGACATGTGGTATAATTGCTATAAATTAAAGATTTATAATTATACAAATTTTTCATAAAGATTTAATAAATTAGAACTAAGTATTTTTATATAGAATTTGCGCATTATGTGTTTTCTCATAAAATTTGCTTCCTAAATGACACATAAATCACATTCAGATCATCAAATAAGCAATGGAGCCAATCTATTCACAGGTTATGGTATACGTGTTGTCCAAATCCCAAATCATTTGGGATTTGGGATTTGGGATTTTGGCATTTGGGATTTCGGCATTTGGATTTTGAATTTGGGTAGCAGGTATAGGTTATGGTATATAGTAATTTGGGTATGACCTGATAATGGAATATAGCTATAATCATTATTCTGATGAATGTTAACCACAGAACAATGACATGAACATGAAGTTGTTATCATATTTTTTATAGATCATAGGTATCCAAATGTAATGACAAACTTATGAACTTGTTATCATAACAGATATGTGATCTCAAATAATGACATCATGTGATTTTGTTGTCATATCTGAGTATATTATAGAGTAATTTAAGTAGTTTATAATATCATGATATTATAAACTACTTTTTAATAACTTGATATAGAGGTATCCAATTAAAAAAAATATCATTTTGAAATCAAGAACATAGGGATTCTAAAAATAAAACATTGGTCACCAAAGTTTACAATTAATTGTGGAATTGTGAATTTGTATTACAATTCTATTTAAAAAATTTACAATATTAAGGACTTTGAAAAATACACTAGTCAAATATAAAAGAATCATAATATCAAATAGTAATTCCTATATTAAAAAACAGAATTCCTATCTATAGATCAGTTAATAATTAGTAAAAATTGATCATCCTATTGCATCCTATATTATAAATCAGCTAAATCAGAATTTTTTTTTGGTAAAATATATCTTTTGTATTTGATCAGTAATAATTAGGAACCTCATCTCTAATAATAAATTTGTAATTAATTCTATTATTAATCAACAATCCTAATTAATAAAATTATATAACAGGTTAAAATATAAAAAGATAGATGTATGAAAAAGAATTCCAATTTTAGCTGATTTATAATATAGAATATACACAAGTCAAATATAAAAGAATTGCTGTACCAAAAAGAAATTCCAATTTTAGTTGATTTATAATATAGGATACAATAGGACAGTTGATTTTTTACCAATTTTTAGCTGATCTATAATATAGAAATTATTATTTGATATAGTAACTCTTTTGTATTTAACTAGTGACAATAAGATATTCAATTTTTAGCTAATCTATGATGTAAGAATTCTGATTTTTAGCTGATCTATAATATAGGAATTATCACTTGATATAGTGATTCTTTGTATTTGACTAGTAGTATCAGGAATTATATAGAAGTATTCTAATATACTATAAGTATGAAATGTTTAAATAATATACTAAAACATTGTATTCTAGTATATTATAAATACAAAACATTCAAATAACACATTAGAACATTACATTCTAGTATACTATAAGTATGAAACATTCAAATAATACACCAGAACATTATGTTCTAGTATGTTATAAGTATAGAATATTCAAATAATACACTAGAACTTTGTGTTCTAATATGTTAGTGCCATTCAAATAATGATATAGAATGATGTTCATATAGTATTGTAGAATGTTTTTATTTAATTCCTAATGTAACATTGATTTATTTTATAATAAACTTATACCTTTTTACTTAAGCTCTATTATTTTCTTATTAATTTATATTCTTTGAATATAAATTCTTATTAATAAACTCTTATTATTACTGTATAATTTCTGATAAATACTTTTAATCCTCTACTTTAATTCCTTGAATTGCTTATTGCTTACTTGAATTTAATAATTAATTTTATTATAGTTTAATAATTATTCTTATAAATCAATAAGTCCTTTTTATTAGTTTTTATAGTTAATTTATTATTCATCTTTTAATTTTATTTAGTTTATTCTTATAGATTTATAAACAGACTGTATTTCTTTCTGTTTACAAGTTATTAGTCATAAACCTCTTTTTGAAAAACGAATTAGTCCAAAAGGTTGACTAGTAACATTGTCTACTTTATAAATTTTGAAGTAAAGATATAATAGTAATATTTTATATACATTATATTTCTTTTCAACTTTTTTTACATATATATTTTGTAATGTCAATAATTTATTATCAAATATGTATATTAATTTATATTGTTTATTATAGTTTTAAAAATAATTTTTTCCATCGAATTTATAACTTTCAGAACAATTACAATTAAAGCAGTTACTTTTTTTATTAACTATTTTTAGTAACAATAAAAGTTAATTTTCCTTTTATTATTTTTTTATATTATTATTATAATTTCTTTTATAATGCAATATTATATAATATCTATAAACAAAATATTATTAAAAATTATAATAGATATATTAAATATAATATTTTTACTAATATAGTATATATATGTTATCTGTTTGTTTTTACAGACCAGTAATAGGATATCTAATCTTTGAAGATTTCATTGTTATATATATATATATATATTTTTAAAGTAATTGAAATTTAACAAATTTGAAAATTAACAGTAATTTAAATTTTCTGAATACATGTTAAATGATTATTCAATGTATTATAAAATTATATCTAAAAAAAAAAAAGATTTATTTTTTACAATATCTCTACAAATAAATAAACATTATTTTAAATTGCCAAGTAATCACTGGTCAAATGATCAAATATTTTTGATACAAATTTCCAAATCATTTAAATCATTTAAAAATCATTCAATCCTCTTTCCTGTTTCTCTATTTTGATAGTCATAATAGGTTAAAAATTCTCATACTTTAATTGTGAAACCCAATAAACCAATTATAACACACGTAACTTCTACTTTTAAAGAAACGATAAGAAAAATTGGGGGAAAAAACCAAGAATTTAAAAATGATCTTGAAAAATTCAAATAATTAATTACACAAGGATTATGCAAGTGAAAATCACGTCGTACTTTTTTTTTAAAATATTGTACGCTTGTCTCTTGAATCGAGAAAAAAAAAGAATAGGTCTATTGTACTTGTTTGCATCATTATGATATTACTATAAAAGGATAATTATAAAATGTTAACGAATAAAATACCGCAAAGCCTTATTTGACAATGATCAAAAGCCACAAAGTTCGATCAGAATTTTGCCTCCAAAATTCCCGTGAGGCGATGAAACGTGGCAAAAGATTGACATGATTGCGTTAGAAGGTTGTGTTCATTAACTCTTCCCGAATTGGATAAAATCCTAAGACGCGAAATTTTTTAATTTAGGTTTTCCCGAAATAAATTTTATTTCTAATACTGGAGAGGATAAGTTAGTTAAAGAATTAGTTAATGCTTTTTTTTTTCTTTACAAATAAATATTTTGATACAGATAATAGTAGATAATAAAGGGTAACAGTTTTACAAATCAATTTTTATGGTGACTAGCCTGTTTACTATCCATTAATATCATCAATTAAATTGTCCAAAAGGAGAAGCTGAAGAAATATCCGAAAAAAAATAATACTTTTGATATTATTTAAAAATATAACATTAGATGCTCAGCCAACAAACGTGAAATAATTTTTAAACGCCACTCCCTTATAAAGTAATTATCATCATCATTATAAACTAGTTGCAAAAACTATTATTTCTTCCACAGCCTTTACGAAGAAATTTAATTTTTTGTCTTTTATGAATAATAATGAAAATTTACTATATTATATACCAGACAAAGAATAAATAAACAAAAAAAAAACTCCAAATAAAATTAATCCTTTAACTTTATTATAATCTGTTTTAAAAATAATGTCTCATTACGGTGGTGGTTATCCCCCTCCCGAAGGTGGTTACCCTCCTGCCGAAGGTGGTTATCCTCCTCCCGAAGGTGGTTATCCTCCTCCCGAAGGTGTTTACCCTCCCTCTGGTTATCCTCCCCAAAACCCAACTTATCCTACTCAAACCACACCTTATCCTAATGTTCAACCTCCCTATTCTTCACCCGACCCCGCTTCTCAACCTTTAATGTCACAAGAATATTCCGCGACTTTAAATATGGAAGAACCAGGATCCGAAATAACTCAAGAAACCTATCATTATGGTTCAGCTCCTCTTCGTCAACCTCGACGTTTTAAAACTACTAGACGGGTAGAATTATCGGATGGAAATTTAGTATTGGATTGTCCTGTACCTTCTAAGTTATTACAACAAGTTCAATTGAAAACTGATAGAGAATTTACACATATGAGATATACGGCCTGCACAGCTGAACCGGACCATTTCAAGGATGAGAAATATCAACTTCGTCAAAGAATATACGATCCTCCAAGACAAACTGAATTATTTATCGTATTGACTATGTATAATGTAAGTGAATAATAGCAAACATTATTAAAGTTTGGAGGCGTCAACCATTTTAATTAATTAATTAGTAATAAATTATTTTTTTAATTAGTAATAAATTATTATTATTTTTTTTAAAAAAAAGTAATGATTATTTTATAAAATATTCGTAATTGACCAATTTTGATTTATTTTTTCTAACATATATTATTTAATTTATTTAATATAGGAAGATGAAGTACTTTTTGCTCGTACTTTTCATAGTGTCGTGAAAAATGTTTCTCATCTTTGCAGTCGTGATCGTTCTCGAGTTTGGGGTAAAGATGGATGGAAAAAAGTGGTAGTGTGTGTTGTATCAGATGGTCGTCAAAAGATCAATAGACGTACTTTAGCTTATTTGGCAGCTATTGGGGTTTATCAGGATGGTGTAGCAAAAACTAAGGTTAGAGGTAAAGATGTAACAGCTCACATATACGAATATACCACTCAATTTTCATATGATGCTGATATGAAAATTAGGGATTCTGACCGTGGTATTGTTCCTGTCCAAGTACTCTTTTGTCTTAAAGAAAAGAACGCAAAAAAGATTAACTCACATCGTTGGTTCTTTAATGCATTTGGATCAGTTCTTAATCCTAATGTATGTGTTCTTCTCGATGTTGGTACTAAACCTGGTGGATCATCAATATATCATTTATGGAAAGCTTTTGATATTAATTCTAATGTTGCAGGTGCTTGTGGTGAAATTGTTGCAATGAAAGGACCAGGTGGTAAAAATCTTCTTAATCCAATAGTTGCAGCACAAAATTTTGAATATAAAATGTCAAATATTTTGGATAAACCACTTGAATCAGTTTTTGGATATATTACTGTATTACCTGGTGCATTTTCCGCTTATCGATACATTGCTTTACAAAATGATGAAAATGGTCGTGGACCTTTGCATGAATATTTTTTGGGAGAAGCAGCTCACGGAGGAGGTGCTGGAGAAGAAGCTGGTATATTCACTAAGAATATGTATCTAGCAGAGGATCGTATTTTATGTTTTGAATTAGTAGCAAAACGGGGTAATTCTTGGGTATTACATTATGTTAAAACTGCATATGCCGAAACTGATGTACCAGATCAAGTACCAGAATTAATTTCTCAAAGACGACGTTGGTTAAACGGTTCAGCTTTTGCAAGTGTATATGCAGTTTGGAATACTCCTAGAATTTGGGGAAGTGCTCACACTCAAATTCGAAAAATTCTTTTAGCTATTGAAATGGTTTATCAGGGATATAATCTTTTCTTCTCGTGGATTGCTTTGGTAAGCATAAAATAATAATAATAGTAATTATAATAATAGTAATAATAATAATAATAGTAATAATAGTAATAGTAATAATATTATTATTGTGAATTGAATTGAATTTGTATTTATTATTACACTATTAATATTATTAACTTATCGATCTTATAGGGTAACTTTTATTTGACCTTTCATATTTTGGGCAAATCTCTCTCCGAACCTCTTATCGTCGAAGGACTTTGGAGTGAGACAGCAGGCAGCATAATATTCCTAATTTTGCGTTATATTTACATATTATTACTTATTGCTGTATTTGTTTTGTCTTTGGGAAATAGACCTCAAGGGTAAGATGATAACTCTAATGTGACTTTTGATTTTTTTAATTTATATATTATATATTTATTATTATTATTATTATTATTATTATTATTATTGCTATAGATACAAATGGGCTTTCATGTTTGCAATAGTGTTCTTTTCTTTTCTTATGGCTTATATGTTATTCGCGGCAGGATGGCTCACTTATAAAGGTGTTCAAATCCAATTGGAAGCAAATAAAGGAAATATTACCGGTGCTAATTTGGGTACAGCATCGGCTATTCTTAATGATTCTACATTTAGAAACATCATCTTATCCTCGGTTTCAACATTAGGATTATATTTTATAGCTAGTTTCTTATTCTTTGAACCATGGCATATGTTCACTAGTTTCTTTCAATATTTATTATTGGTACCATTCTATATCAATATTATGAATGTTTATGCCTTTTGTAACGTTCATGATGTCAGGTAAATTAAATAAGCATTATAATTATATTATATCATTTTTTCATATTACCATCTTATTATACTATCTTGTCATATTATTTTATCATTCTCTTATACTTTCACTTTATTTATTTTATTTAGTTGGGGTACCAAAGGAGATACTTCAACTGCACCATCTTTAGGTGAGGCAAAAGTAACCAAAGATAAAAAAGGAAATGAAGAAACGGAAATAGAAATGCCCGTTGAACAGATGGATATGAACGATGCATATACTGAAGCAGTTGATGAATTGAAACGTGGGCATGAAGAAGAAGTTAAACATCGTTCGCCATCGGAAAAACAAGAAGATTATTATAAATCATTTCGTTTCAATGTGGTAATTTGTTGGATTTTAACTAATTTATTATTAGTTGCTGTTATTACTAGTACTAGTGACGTTATAACTAAAGTCTCAAGTGAAGACAATAGAGCTAATACTTACATGGCATTTGTTTTATGGTCTGTGGCTGGATTGGCTGCAATTAGATTCTTTGGTAGCTGTACATATTTATTATTTAGATTATTTACTGGTAATTAAAAAAAAAAAATTTTGGATGAGACAAATCTTTTAATAATAATCAATCAGATATAATTTCTTTATATTAAATTGCAGATAATCTTATTTATATATTTTAAATTATTTTATTTATTCATTTATTTTTTATTTATTTCTCAAGTAATGTACTTAAATGTGTTTTAACAATCATAATATATTAATATAACAATTTATATTTATAAATATATTTTGTATAAAATCACCAAAAATAAAAATGTATAATTTCAAAATCAAATTATTCAATAAATACTGTGGTCTTTTATTTTAAATAATAAATAACTAAATTAAATAATTTTAATAGATTATAATAATAATTTTTTTTTATTGATCTATAATTTTATATAAATCTTGTTCCAAAAAAGGTGATGAATCATACTGGATAACATCACATTCTTGAATAATTTCTATGTTTAATCTATTTTATTTTTTTTCTCTCCGGACGATCCGGTTGTTGGTAATCCGGAGAATACTTTAACATAATCATAAATGAGCCATTGTAAAGCAGTTAATGTACCAATCATAATAACACGAGTACCAAGTCCTCGCCAAATTCCCGTGAATCCAAGTTCTTTTACGATTTTACTTGAGAGTGCAAGAGTTGATTCCCCTTCGGCTTTTTTAACGTTATTAAGCTAAAATAAATAAAAAATAAATAAATGAAATGTTAAAAAAAAAAAACTGAAATATTAAAGATAAAATATTTAAAAATAAGAAAAATTACCTTGGAAACTAAAGTATCTGCGGGATGACTAACAATAGCGCAGAATACACCAGCGATGTATCCACCCAAGAAAGAAACTCCCAATTGTTCAATTTTATTATAACTTTCTTTGGGTTTTCCAAGATTTTTATAAATATATTCTTAAATCGGTAATATTAATAAAAATGAGATTAAATATATTAGTAATATATAAGTAAATATACAAGTAAATATACAAATAAATATATAAGTATTCATTAATGAAAATACAAATACGATATGTACCAACTGTTTTTTCAAAACTAGCGAACTTCATCATAGTGTAAGGAACTTGTCTAGCCCAAAGTGGAGTAAGTCCTTTGTAAAATCTAATAAAAACATTTACATAATAAATAATAAATTTAATAAATCCTATAAGCATTTATTCATTTCTTTCATTAAAAAAATTTTTTATTATATATTAGTATTTTTTTTTTTTATAAAAAAAAAAAAAAAACGAACATACCCACTTATGCTTTCGTTCTTTAGAATTTTATTGAATCCTTCCACCGTACTTTTAGCAAATGGTTCAGTAGATGTTTGCATTCTTACTTTTAATGCTTCCCACGGACATAAAGCAATATCGGCAAGTATTTCAGCACTGACATAATAATGATTTTTTTGATAATTTTAATTTTTTTTTCTTTTTAATCGTTTGTCAAAAAAGAATTGATTATGGTATACTGGATATATCGTAATACACACACCTAGCACTTGCCGCCAAGTAAAGACCCGTACGATATTTATGAGCATTTTCTTCACCAGCTAAATCCGAATAAGTTTTCTTAAAAATCTCATAAAATCCGTATTTTGCTGCTCCCTGGAAGGAATAACCAATGAAAGTTGGTACCCATCCAGTATATAATCCGCCAAATCCATTAGCACGATAGATTTTGCCCCATCCGTCAAAATTGCCTTTATAAATATTAGGATTAACCTAAATTTCATGATAAAAATGAAAAATTCGTTAAATGAAATTCTTCTATATTTTATATTCACGTTTTTAACATAAATAAAAATTGTTTAACTTTTTCTGAGAAAGTTGATAGTAAACTTTAGTTTAATATATAAGAATCTTTTACTCTTTCTAAAAACTTTAATACCACCTCAAACTTTAACCTTTCATACCTGTCTACGACATTTTACAAGGTCAAGAGGTGTAACGAACGTGTGAGTTATCCCACAAGCCAATATACCTCCATAAGCGCAAGTAAGATAATATTTTCCGCTATATAGTTGAATTGGTTTTTTTTCAACGATTTCCATAATAATCTGCAATTCAAGATTTCGATCTAGAAAAAATTTTTTATTTATATATATTTTGACGAATCACAATAAACGCGTAACACATTGATTATTAATAAATCAGGTTTCGTAGATCACTTCTTTTTCGATGGCTATTTGAACAATTTTCACGTTTTGTCACATTATTTTATATTTTTACAAAAAAAAAAAATCATCAGAATCTTCGCAGTGAATTAAAAAAATAAGTGAATAATAAAATGAAATTTTATTCATAATTCTTCCTCAAATTAAAATAACATTTTCTTTAAATGAAAATTTCTCCTATCATCTATATATTTATTGTTATTATTAATTCATTTTACGAATTAATTCATTAATTTTATCTTCACGATCACCATAATCACCACCTTCAACGTAATGCTTAAATTTCCTGGTAGACCAGCCACCATTAGGATTGGATAGCTTGAAAGGCCAAAGAAAATTATTTGCTTGTTTAAACTTTATGACGACATCAGGAGCATTAAATAATTTAAATAATTTCAAAGTTAGTAGTAATTCGTTATTTAATGTAGTACAAAGTGTAATATAATATTTTGCACGTGATTCCATAATAATTGTCAATGACAACTTACATTTGGACCAACCGTGTAAATCTCGTGAACTAAATCTTCAATACATATGATACCAAATTTTCCCAAATTTTGTTCGATGATAGAATTGTCAGTTATCGGAACACGTTGCTTATCTACTTTTGCATATCCACGTTTGTAAATAAGTTCACGAACCGACCTTTTTTTAATTTAATAAATTATAAACAGCATGATAAATGATTTGAATGGTTTGTACAAAAAAAAGATCCAACATAAAAATATATGAATAAATAAAATGTATATATTTACTTCAAATTAGGTTCTCCATATGAAATATAAGGAGTAACCAATCGAAGCATTTCTTTCGTCGTCTTGGTCAATCGAACAAATACACCATTATTGATTTGGAGAAGACGCAAAAGCTGAAGGATTTTGCGTGGTTTGGGTGGAATTTTGTTGATACTTTAAAATTCAAAATATCATCCATTCAAATTTTATAAAATTTTTTTTTATTATTAATATTTTATTGAATAGAATCAACAACAACAATAATAATTTGATATTTTACCCTTTGATTCGAATAACAAATGCTAATTTTGGTTCGGAAGGAACATAAAAATTACCAGATGCCTTTGCTTGACGACGCAAACGAAGTTCTTGACTTTCTGCAGCACGATATTCTTTAACGTAAGCTTCTGCTCGCTTGAAAATTTTACGGCGGTTTTCCTTAGCTTTCTAATTATCATTATTATCATATATTTTGTTGTATTTGTTGATTTCCAAAATGTTCAAAATATTCAAAATGTCGTGTATAAAATATTGCGTAAAATTGATAAAATGTAGATAAAATAGATTTGATTGATCAGAAAATTATTTCTTTAATAATTCGAATAAATATTAAATTAAGAATTAAAAAAAAAAAATTAAAAGATGTTTATCAGTCCCGAAAGATGGTATTTATTTAACTCAGCATCGCCGTAGCTAGATTATTTTTTGAGATTCTCTCATTTCATCATGATTAAACAATCAAATTATTAATTTTCTTCTCATTTAACTTCTATATATATACACAAATATATCTATCTCCTCTAACATAAATATATGTATGTGTATATAAATTTATTCCCAAATTGAATAAAAAATTTTCGGGGGGAAATACCTTGCGCTTTTCTGCAAGAGCTGTCGCTTTTTCAATTGCAATTTTTTCCTGATCTTTCCTTTTTTTCAAAAGGGTCTCAGGAACACGGATCTGTTCTTCTGTGGCAACGGTTCTATAATAAATAAATAAATATATATTAGCTAATGGTGAACATGTTTTACTCGAAGATTATTATTATACCTAAATGACAATATTCTATGAATATTATATTATTCATAAGTGATTATCATTGCACTGAAAATCATTAATACACTTACAATCCCTTGGTGGCCATAGCTCAAGTTGTCAAAAGAGAAGGATATAATTTAGTAAATCTCATCTTTTTAATTTTTTTTTATTTGTTGTTATCCAATCAAAATCTAGGTATTAAGTCACGTAATTATATTTTCAAAAAAAAATGTTGATCGGGATTCTATTGATTCTATAACGCACATTTTTTAGATTTTCCTGCCTGTTTCGACTAGGTCAAGTAATTTTATTTTGTATCAATAAAACATTCCGATAATTAATTTCATAATATATACAATATTCGAAGAATGTCAACTTACAAATCATATATTCCATTATTTCTTTGATATATTCTTTTATCCTGGCCAGAGAATTATCAACAGTTACCACGTTACATTATTTCACAATATTTTGGTGTTTTTTTTTTTGATTTTTTGATTGAGACTTTGAAAGATTTATTTGATATCTATTATAAAATGCCACTCCAAAGCTAAAATAAAAAAATCAAAAGCACTATTTCCTTTAATTTGTTGAAAATTTACTTGTATAATTTATTTTTTATTTTAGTGAGTCATTATCTTTTATTCAAAATCTAATTTGCATGAGAAAAAAATGAATAAATTAATCATTACGAACAAAAATATAATGTTTCTGAATATAGATGTTGACTTAATTGTTTTTATATTTGCCGGAAGTACGATATAATTGCAGAAAATAATTTCGGCTGCCGAAACCAAAAATATTTTAATTTTTTTCGGCTGCCTTAATCATTTTCCGCTGCTGTAATTATTTGCTGCCAATAAAAGTTTTCGAAATTTTTTTGAGAATTTGCTCGCGATTTATGAAACATGCAAAACATGCAGCAATTTTATACTAAGATATTTCTATAAATCGAAAGGTCTTATTCTTGGCTACAAAATGGTATATGTCTCATCTCAATGTTCATCGAGTTATTACAGTTAAAGTCAAAAAAATCTTCACGGATGTTTTACTTTAAACTGTAATATCGATTCTACAGAGATGAAACACGTACCATTTTGTAGCCAAGAACAAGGCCTTCCGATCTATCAGAGAAATATCTTAGTAGAAAATCGCGAGCGAATTCAAAAAAAAGTAATTATGACAGCTGAAATAATTAAGGCAGTCGAAAATAATTAAGGCAGCTGAAAATAATTACAGCGGCCGAAAATAATTAAAGCAGCCGACATCCGAAAATATTTTCGACATTTTCGGTTTTGAAAGTTCGAATATGCCGAAAATTTTCGGCATGCCGTAATGCAACATCTATATTTCTGAACGAATTTCAATATGGAATATGCCACAGATTTGACCAAACAGCTATGTATGCTTGAATGGAATTATTGATATAGAAATCATTCATTTCTTCTTCTTCACGAAGCCTGCAAGTCGAACCCAATATTCATGAATGTGAGAGATAGAAACAAAAAAATCTGAACCTCTTCCTATTTCTAGATCACTACTAAATTTTTTATCACTAAAATTTAAAGCATTTTATGTATAAGATCATCTTAGACGACTCATCCAAAAAATATCTAGTTCTAATAATAAAGGAATCAATGAAGTTATAGAAGGAAACAAATTTGTAACATTCTAGTAAATACTTAAAGAGCATTCTAATCGTTTCGAGGAAGAAACTGAATGCATTATGCATTTACTTATAATGTATGATGCAGATCGATAATACAATGAATCACACATGGAGAATTCTTAAAGAATATTCTCATGTGAAAAATGTCAAATCATGGAAAAAAATTTAATATTTATAAATCCATATAAATGACCAACATTCGAAATTCAACACATTTAATAACAGTAGTATTATTTACAATTTTCATATGCTTATAAGCAAATATAATGCAAATAAAGTAAATTCCTTCTTATAACCTTTTTATATAATCAATTCATCACGTTTAAAATATTATTCCATTTCAATTTTTTAATAAAAAGAATAGAACCTTGAAATTCATTTAAGTTTTCGGCAGAAAAATCTTCACACAAAATAGAAACTATATGTTACAATGAAATTGAAACAACCAAAGATAAAGAGAAATTTCAGTGGTACTTGAAATCAGCTGAAGGAGAAAATAATGGTGGGCAATGTTATCTTGGGAATTGTTATCATCTTGGTATTGGAACCACAAAAGATAAAGAGAAAGCATTTCAGTGGTACTTGAAATCAGCTGAAGGAGGAAACCATTTAGGACAGAATAATCCTGGAGATTGTTATCAACATGGGATTGGAACTACAAAAGATGAAGAGAAAGCATTTCAGTGGTACTTGAAATCAGCTCAAGGGAAAAACCATTTTGGCCATTTTGGACAAAATAATCTTGGATATTGTTATCGTCATGGTATTGGAACCACAAAAGATGAAGAGAAAGCATTTCAGTGGTACTTGAAATCAGCTCAAGGGAAAAATCCATTTTGGCCATTTAAGACAAAATAATCTTGGATATTGCTATAAACATGGAATTGGAATTGCAAAAGATGAAGAGAAAGCATTTCAGTTGTGCTTGAAATCAGCTGAAGGTAGAGATCTTATAGGACAGAATAATCTTAGAGATTGTTATGAAAATGGAATTGGAACCACAAAAGATGAAGAGAAAGGTACTTGAAATCAGCCGAAAGGGGAGATAATTATGGACAAAATAATCTTGATTATTGCTATCGAAATGAAATTAGAATTTCTAAAATTAAAAAAAAAATCAAAATAAATTAAAGCATAAATGCCATAATTGTGAAAAATTAATTTTACAAAATAATACATGTTCAAATTGTAAACATATAGAAAAACAAAAATGGACTAGTGGCAATGATGAAATTGATAAGATTATTCAAATGACTCAATCAGATGATGATGCAAAAGAATGGGAAATTTGGAGATGGATAAAT